CATTGTTACATCGCACCCTGACTGGCTCATCTCCTCCCCGAGACCCCTCTGCAAGGGGATCTCCAAAGAAAAGAAAAAAAAAGAAATTTAACTCCACCACGCTGCCTCTGATTGTGACAGGACCGTGACCTCTGTTGGGCCCTCTGTTCTGGATCGTGTGGCGTTGCTCCAAGGCTGGTGGAGAGGCAGGAGGTCTGGGTTGTTGTTAAGGTGTATTGCCCTTTCATGAAGTCGATTCCCATTGATCTGTCCATGATTTTGTGGTTAAGTGCCATCAAGTGAATTCCAACTCCTAGTGACCTTATATACAACAGAACAAAACACAGCCTGGTACTACACCGGCTTCACAATTGTTACACCTGAATATCAGCCGACGCCCCTAATTTTACTACAAAAACTGCATTAAAAATGTGCTGAAAAACTCGGCTTATCCACGCATATATACGTACGTTCGAGCCTTTTGTTTCAGTCACTGTGTCAGTCCACTCTTGTCAAGAGCCGTCCTCTTTTTTGTTGCTCCTCTACTTTACCGAGCGTGGTGTCCTTTTCCAGGACTGGTCCCTCCTTATAACCCATACAGAGTATGCAAAATGAAGTCTTTCCATCCTTGCCTCTAAGGAGCATTCTGGCCAAGACAGATTTGTTTGTTTCTCTGGCAGTGTGTAGTACTTTGAATATTTTTTGCTTGTACCATAATTCAGAAACATTGATTCTTCTTCGGTCTTCCTTTTTCAGTGTCTATCTTTCACATGCATGTGAGGAGATGGAAATATCATGACCTCGGTGAGGCACTCCTCAGTCCTCAGAGTAACACCCTAGCTCTTCAACACTTTAAAGAGGTCTGAAGCAGCAGATTTACCGAATGCAATATGGCGTTTAATCTCTTGACTGCCACTCCCAAGAGCATTGATTTAGATCCAAGCAAGTTGAAATCCCTGACAACTTCAATCTTTTCTCCATTTACTCTGATGCGATCTATTGGTTCACTTGCTAGGATAGATATTTTCTTTACACTGAGTTGTAATCCACACTGAAGGCAGCAATCCTTGATCTTCATCAGCAAGTGCTTCAAGACCTCCTCACTGTCATAAAGCAAGGTTGTATCATCTGTGTGTAGCAGGTGGTTAATAAGCCTTCTTCCAATCCCTATGCCACATTCTTCCTCATATGATCTAGTTTCTTTCATTATTTGTTCAGCATACAGATCGGATAAGTTGGGTAAGAGGATACAACCATGTCACAAACCTTTCTTGATTTCTAGCATGTAATATTTCCTGTTCTATTTGCACTACTGCCTTTTGATGCGTCAGACTCCACATGAGCACAATGAGGTGTCCTGGAATTCTCGTTCTTCTCAAGGCAATTCATAGTTTGTTATGATCCACAGAATTGAAGGCCTTGGCACGGTCAAAGAAACACAAGTAAACTTCTTTCTAGTGTTCTCTGCTTTTGGCCAAGATCCATCTGACATCAGCCATGATATCCCTTGTTCCATGGCCTCTTCTGAATCCAGCCCAAACCTCTGACAGTTCCCTGTCAATGCACTGCTACAACCTTTGTTTGATGATCTTCAGCAAAAATTTTACTTGCGTGTGATATCAATGATTTTGTTCCAGAATTTGTTCCTTCTGTTCCCTCTCATGGGAATGGTACAACTGTGGATCTGTCCTTGAAGGACTGCCCGTTCTGTTTCATGCAGTCTTTTCCTGGCATCACAGAACAGTGATCTTCCTGAAGTTTGTATTGTGGCATTACTTCTTTTCATTTTTTGTGCCCCTCGCACCCTTATTGTTATTTATTGTAGTGGAGGAGAGGGTTATGTGTTGGGCTGCTAACTGCAAGGTCAGCGAGTTAGCCCATCATGCAGGAGAAAGATGAGGCTGTCTGCTTCCCAATGTTTCAGCCACTCAAAAGAGCAATTCTGCTCTATCCTGTAGGCCATCATGCAGGAGAAAGATGAGGCTGTCTGCTTCCCAATGTTTCAGCCACTCAAAAGAGCAATTCTGCTCTATCCTGTAGGCTTGCCATGGCAGTGGGGG